AACGCTTCGTTTAAGCGCAACGCTACGGCAGCCCCGCTGCAATCTTGCTTAGATGAAGCTCGATTTAGGTCGATGACCTTCGCTCTATACTTCGACCCAATACGAATGTAGCTGATCGCAACCCACTTACTCCAAGTGTAATCTTAACCCAAGACTAATTAAACCTTCCGTTTGAGAAGTAAACTGCATTTCTCGGTTTTATTTGCGGCAAAACCGTATAACTGTGGTTTTTCTTATTAAATAGCAAAACCTTATTGAATGTGTAATTACCGGCTATTCCAGCCACGTACTGACTTGTTATTTAAGTGAAGCCACGCCATTGTGTTCTCATACCATCTTGTGTAATTCAAACCCTTCCTGCCGTTACAGATCCGTACACTTCCAATCTTAAAGGTGCAGAATTTTTCACATTTAAAGCGGGTGCCCAGAACTTGCAGTCGGTATCAATCAGTACTGATAGATATACCGGTGTCCACACCACACTCTTCGTTATTAATCAGTGTCACTGGGGCGGGTAAAAGGCTACTCCTAAATTAAGCGTGATCACCTTTATGTAAGGATTCCAGGCTCTTTCTAACGACACAATAGATCAATTTGGTGAGTATGCGTAAGCGAAGCCGCTTGACAACTGCTAAGCCGCTGCATGCGTCTAATGTTCAGCCGACAAACTCACACACAAATTGGGAGAAAGCCCGGGATACCCTTCGCGCTCGTTTGCGTCCGAAGAAGCGAGCTCGCGAGGAGAGAACACTGTTCGATCGCTCTAAGGGTTTTCTGAAAAACAATGAGGAGGGACGTCGAAGAGGCTGCAAGGATGAAGCAAGAGAGGAAAGTAGGAAAAATAATGCAACCTTTATGATTCTGGATGCAGAGATAGAAGCATTTGCAGCCCGAGTGACCCTATCTCCGCAAGAAAGACAGTTGCGTATGAGTGTGTTTCATGATATGCGCGACCTTATCTCGTCGGCTTACCAAGATGCTACGATCCAGCTCTATGGATCATCTAGCACCAGGTTAGAAACCTTTAGAAGCGATCTGGATGTTACTGTGGGGAATATCGCGCTTTCTTCATCGCTGATCCTGCCTTCTGTGGCGGAGGTCGAAGAGAGTCCGGCTTACAAGCAGCTTCACGTAGAGACAGGCATTGAAAATAATTGTGCGTATGATATGGCTGAGATAAATGAGGTGGCATCCTCATTCTCACTCAATTTAGCGCTGCCTTTGGATGTGGTCGCCTCGAAGGACAATACGGACGTTAAAGGTCGTACACAGCCCGCAACATCTTCGCACTGGAATCCAGCACGACGTAAGCGTAAGCTTCGCGTTTTGCGAGCATTGCAACTCTTGTTAAAGGAAAAAAGACCCCATTTTCAGGTCAAATGCTTACACAGAGCTAAGGTGCCCATCCTCATGGTGCTGGACACGAAAACAAAACTGTCGATCGATATTGGTGTGAACCGCGAGTTATTCGAAACTAGTGATCACGGACGCTCAACATCTCTCGTCCAAAGGCTGATCAACTCGTTGGGAACACCATTCACCACAATAATTGTGTTTTTGAAGGAATTTTTGCAACAATTTGAGCTGAACAAGCCTTTTACCGGCGGCCTTGGCAGTTTTCGGCTGTACATAATGGTGGCGCACGTCTTTCGGCGCGAATTCTCACAACTCGAATCGTTATCATCCCTCTTGCTGGCATTTTTTGGCTTGTTTGGCAACAAGAAAAAGCCTAATTTCCTGCATGAAGGCACGAAATTACCGCTTCCGCTAGGCTCCGGTGGCCACTTGAGGTTTGGCAGTGTTTTCCGCATTCGTGATTGTGTTGAAGTTTTCGCTATGGCACATGACATCTTGAGCTCTACAGGAAAAATTGGGTCTATAATAAATGAGGAGCGTTTTGAGGAGGACCGCAAAAACAGCCAAAGAGACATCCGAAAGCAACTTTCATTATTTGATAACAGTAAAAGCTAGTATGACTTCGCAGCCAGATTTAAAAGCTTGCCAAGTGTGAATGAGGAGAGTGTGAAGTGCTTAAATGAGGAGGGGTTTGATTGTAGTCAGTAAAGCATGAAAATATTGCTGACGACAAATTTTGCAGCATTTGTATTCGAAATTAGTGAACGTGCTATCATTTCATCTAATTGCTTGAGTTTAAGAAATTTAGACGACTTGTGCAGTCAAAGTGATGTCCGATGAGGTAAATCAATGCACGTAACTTTTTTTTTTGCCAAACGCAACGCCACTTTCTCCAAAGCTACTTGGCCAAAATTGGACGCCTTTGAGCCCCTGCACAAATGTAGTGACTGCGATAAGAAATACAAGCTCAAATCCGCTTGCAATCCAACTTTAAACTTGTTTGCTTCCGTTGCTCTTGCTACTAAACTAAACTCCACCAGTTTTTGCATACTCAAAATTTCCGGGTGGTCCGGTATACCGCCAAACTTGTTGGCGTGTCCGTCGATGACTGGACTATAAATTTGTGGCAATGGTTGTCATTATAGTCAGTTTATATAAGTAAATTGCAAAATCCAAATTTGTCCTATAATCACAAGGACCCTGACTCTTTGCACACACGCTCCATATGCTCGGCACATCTTAATGTGAACAGCTTATGCTATGCCCGTCATATTTGAGTACACTTTTATTATGGCGAAGCTGAACTGCTACGTTAAAAAAGTGCTACACATAAGTGATGGTAGAGTAGTGTTCACGAACATGCAAATAAATAGTTTCCTATATCGTCTATATAATAAAAATCGACGCTTGAACAACGCTGTTTATGAGGTCAAGTCTTGTAATGGCGTGAGAACTGTGCTATTGTGTGTTCACACCTTGTGTAACGGGGTTACACGTACCCTGGTATGAGGAGGTGGATCACACAAAATGGTGTGACCACACAATGGTGTGGCTCACATTAAGAAGAAGTCACTCGGGCTGGACTTGCCAGTAATTATGCATTTTAATAAGGTTTTACCATTTAATTATGAAAACCTATAAATTTAGATATAGGTGGCTTTGCCGCAATAAAACAAACGAAATACATTTTACATTTTGAACGGAAAAGTTTATTTGCCTTGGATTAAGGTTGTGGTTACCGGAGTAAGTGGATTGCGATGCGATACCCTCGTACTGGAGAACGAAGGTCGCCGACCTTAGCTAAGCTTCCTCTAAGCTAACGAAATACGGCAGCCCCACTGCACTTGGTAGCACTTGTAGTCAATCTACACTAGAGTCGTTACGACTGATCCTCTGTGAGGATGGAGCAGTCTTATATTTTCCCCAGGGCATGTAAGACGGGATTAGTAAGCTGATATCTCTTCTTGGCCCTAAATGCGTGCAACACCTCGTTTAACAAGGACCTAAAGCGATCAGCACGCGCCTATAGGCGTTTTCGAGCTATGAAGATGCTTTGCTAGAGTACCTAGGGCAGAAGATGTCGGCGTCGACTGCTTCCATGACGCCACCGTCAAGGACGGATAACTCCTCTGGACCCAGGCCGCTCATGATGAGCGTAAAGACCGTCGAGGGCAAGGATGAATATTATCTCTTGCTCTTGGTAAGGGAGGCTGAGATGGCTTTGGGGTCCGCCATACTTCAGACCGAGCAACAGCGTGAGGTGCCACTTATCTCCAAGCTCGGTGGTCGAGCGCGAGTATTGGCAATAGCGTGCTTCGGTTGAAGCGGCGTACCCTCCTGGGCGGAGCTGAAATTGCAAATCTCACGAGTGTTCTCGCCGCCTAATCAGGCATATCGCATGCGATCGCGCTTTCTTGC